CTTTAGTCTAATTGCTGACATCGTTATAACATGTTACTATACACAGTCTACGTCGCTAACATGCTAGCTAGCACGAGACATCCTGGAACCAGCCAGTGGTGTTAATGCTGAACTCTAGAAGCACGGTCCACTGTCTGAGGCCGTCAGAGGATAGTTGGTAGTTTCCATCAGTACTGTTCCTGGGCTATTATGTAGTCTCAATCAGGGTGCATATCGGGTTATAGCTGGCTAAAAAACACCTAGATGGCCAGCAGTTTGTAGCACATTAATAAAGACAGAACTGCCAGATTTGATGTGAAAGTGTTAATAATGAATGTTTAGATGAAGTTAGCTCAGATCTACAGGACAAAAGACATACATCGGGTCTGATGGTTGTGAAGGAGATGTGATTTTTTCTCTCTCTAATACTTACTGAGTACTAATATAATGTTATTTGTAAAGAAGATAATGAAGTCATTACTAAGAGGACTATAGGGCCAGTCAAAGCCACCTGGTTTTACTCTGTTAATGATCACAGCACGTGGTTCTGGTTGAAGAGACCATTTAATGCAAGAGACAGGTAAATCCAGGTGTCCTGTGATTTGTATGCCTCACCAGGACCATCGTGGTCACCTCCCCAGACTGCTGCCTGCTCATCACTTACTCTCCTGTGTATAACAGAGGTTGTGGGTTCTGGTTGGGAGTGTGCTGGACGGGAAGGAGATGAGAAAACGAAAGAGAGCTCAATTTATGAGCAGCAAATGTTTCACCTCCTTCATCACACCAGTTGAAAGCAGAGAGGAGTCCTGTGGATGACAAGTGATTTAATAGGTGTGTGTGTGTCTGTGTGTGTGTGTGTGTGTGTGTGTGTGTGTGTGTAGGTGTGTGTGTGTGTGTGTGTGTTAATGGTCCAAGAGCTGCTCTGCAACTTATCTACAATATTATTTTTGGACACTCCAGGACACCGTACATACAGTACAGACCAAAAGTTTGGACACACCTTCTCATTCAAAGACTTTTCTTTATTTTCATGACTCTGAAAATTGTAGATTCACACTGAAGGCCTCAAAACTATGAATTAACACATGTGGAAATATGTACTTACCAAAAAAGTGTGAAACAACTGAAAACATGTCTTATATTGTAGGTTCTTCAAAGTAGCCGCCTTTTGCTGTGATTACTGCTTCACACACACTCTGCGTTCTCTTGATGAGCTTCAAGAGGTCGTCGCCTGGGAGCGCCGCTCATCAATGTTGTTTTTCTGCTCAAATAAAAATGAATAAAAATGAAAAATCTAAACAAATATTTAAAAAATGTATTGATATTTTAATACTTTTATTTATTTGTCTTTATGTTTCTACTGGTATTTGCCTTTTCTTTTCTGGATTCATTTTTGATTAATATTGCTTATATTGCCACATTATCTATTTTTATTTTATATTTATTATTCTTTTTATTTCCGCTTTTATTTTATTATTCTTTTCTTGGTTTGGTTTTGTAATCTGACACCACTCCATAGCTCATAGGATAAACTGGACATGTGCCCTCCGACCCGCTAGGTGGCGGTAGTGACACGACTGTGAAGCTCTTCTACATCTCTGTAGTGTTATTGTGAAAAGTTCGGGCGGAGAGCGTCCTGTCTCTGCGGGAGGACAGCGGTGTGCTGGACGGAGTCAGGACTCAGCGGTACCGACAGACACCGACTGACCGTGAAAGGTATTTACTGACGGGGCTGTGGAGACGCCAGTGGAGCGGGTGTCCGTTAACGGAACCGCGGGCTGAGCTGATCTCACTGAGCTGGTGGATGAAATGCCCAAAATGGCCGCTGTGTGTGGGTGTCGGCAGGGCGGCCTGCCTGCCGGCGGCCCTGTGCTCGGTCTCAGCGGTGTGTTACCGCCGGTTGTTGCAGGTACATCTGTGTGCTTCATGAATCCTTTGCACCTGTATGAGAATCACGTCACGGACACGGACCGGTGTTCGTTGTGGCTCGAGCCGTGCAGGCCCGCGCGACGTCACGAGCGCGTCTCTAGGTGTCGGCTGCTCGTGCAGCCGCAGCATCAGAGCTGAGATTGAAAAGCAGCACCGGGGCAGAATCAGAGGTCCGGAGGAGAGGGGAGGTTGGCAGGGCGGACTGAAGCCGCTGCTCCCCCGCACACAGCGGGCTGGAGCCGGCTGGAGCCTCCGCGGGCATCCGTGGTGACGTGAAGCCGAAACGAGTCGCATCCCAAATCACATCGATGCACTCGACCTGTTCTGCACTGACCTCTAGTGTTTAACCAATGGCAGGAAGCTTACATGCAATTTACATCTGTTTACCTGGACCAGTGGTTCTCAAACTGGGGGTCGCGACCCCCACGGGGGTCCCAAGATCATTTCAGGGGGTC